CTCAGAGGTTACTGCTTCTTTTCAGGATGAATGCTCCAAATTTGTCTCTGATCCAACAGTCTTTCACCTTCAGCACCTTAATAATTTACTTGTATTTCTTTTCTCTTATTTTGTAGTCTTCCGTTGCTCCACTGGCTCTTTTCCTACTCACATACACTTGATTCACTATCAAGTGTATTCACTAAATTCACCACAAGCTACACTCCTCTCAGCTTCAGTCACTAAATCTTTGTCTTTTCTGTTTTTCTCAACTATTTAACTTGCAAGTCCTTTTAATCTGCTCTATTATCTACAAAAATCTTTCAAGTTTCACTAATGACATATTCACATTTAAATCCAAAGACTTTTTCTTAGTTTTTAATCTCACATGATGGACTAAAATCCCTAACTACTTTTTTTGATGCTTCTTGCTCCTCTCTTCATTTATGTGGCCATGTCCATAGGTCCTCTGCATGAATTTCTCTGGCTCTCCACTGTCAACCCATACATTTCCATCAATTTAATTAATATCACCTAAAACTTTATCTAAAACCTCTGGTTTAATTCTTTTGAAAGTTACACTCTTATTTCTCACTAATTTATTTTATAGGGATATTTACTGGCATTCAAACTCAATAAATTTTTAAAAAATCAATATATTTCTCTTAACTTCCAATTTTGATCTTCCATCTTCTTTTATGGTTAATAACACTGCTATGGCCTAGATCCCTTGAAATCAAAGCCCTATTCTTGGTACCTCAAACAAATTAGTTGTCAAATCCCGAATATTATATAATACAAATGTCTTATGATCCATCTCCTCCTTTTCATTAGCTCTATTAATTCCTCAGTGAAGACCTTGTTATTTTTCATTTAGATTACTATTAGTGCCTCTAAACTGAGATACCTCTACATTCTATAATAGCTGGACTAAACTATACTAGACATGGATGTAGCAAATTACTATAAATAAGATACTTTTATATTAGCTGTCTCCTGCAAAATCTTCAATAAAATAATAAGGTAGATTCCTAAATGTAGCCCTCATGTACATTTCCTACATCATCTCCAACTGTTATCTTCCATTGTATTAAACTTTATCCTCAGAACTCCAGGGTATTTTTCCACGCTTTCATACATTTGCACATACTGGTTTGTGAACCTCAAATATTCCGCCTAAGCATTTCCATTTATCAAAGTACAGTTCAAATTTTGTATTCATGCTTTTTTTCCCGATATCTTAACTTAATGTAATCTTTCCCCCTCCGAACCCAATAGCTTTCTATACCCCTCTCATGGTGTGATTTCCATTCTGCAATGCAACATAATAATTTGCATATAATTTTGACTCTCTTACCAATTTGTCGGTTTCTTAAATGGCAGCAACTTAGCATTCATCTCTAAATTTCTGCAGTAGCCTAACACCTGGCTCAAAGCTTCCACTAAAAATATTTGTCACATTGATGAATGAATAAATGAATGAGTGAATAATATTCTGATTGTCTCTACACAGTGACAAGTGTGTGGAGAAGTACACTAATGAATACTAAGTTGACGTGGTACATCGTTAACCATATAACATTACAATAACCGACAAAAATAAAAATATTTAAATTGCTTTTCATAAGCTTTCATAACAAAATTGAATTTATTGAATACAAAATTGCAATTTATTTCTGTGTAAAGACAATATAACCAAAATGGAAGGTTGACAAAATATTGTCATTACAAAATTGGTTGAAAACTATTAGGTGATCTAAATGAAATGTCCAATTGACAACTAACGAGGACTGGTCCTTAGTTACATATTCTAAGATGTTTCT